GCCGTGAACTGCTGCCTTCATCCCGATAAAGACCCCCAGCCCGACCCCTCCATCCCTCCTCAGTCTGAGGGGCAGCTTCAATATCCGGGGGTCCCAAGGCCCAGAGGTTCCAGGGGTGAGTGATTCCTTCTGCTGTATGGGGAAGGAGAGAAGGGCAGCAGCAGCACAGCCTTCCTCTGCTGAGGGAGGGGATGTGGGCTCACCCTCCTCATCCTCAGCGGGGAAACTGAGGCTCAACCCAGCCCAAAGGGTCCCTGCCACCAGCACACAAACACCAGCAACAGGGGCAGGAGCCACGCTAAATTAATAAGGAAAAATGAAGGATGGAGCCAAAATCCATCTGGCAAAAAGCATCGATTCATGTAATATCAATAAATGTAATGAGTCACAGCTAATGAATTCTCCTGCGGAGCTGGACCTGCAGGGAGGGCAGCTCAAATCCTGCCAGAGCACAGAGGGTCATGGGGGGCTGGAATCCCCCTGACCACGGGCCCCCCTTGCAGGGATAAACACAGGACAGCCCTCACTGTCCATGCAGGAGGGGCATGGAATGAAAACCCCTCCCCAAACACCAGGCACAGCACGGGGGGCTCTCTGGGAAGCCCCATCCTCCCTTCTGCTCTAAGTGCAGCACCCCAACAGGAACCCCACTGTGGGATGACAGGGAGGGAGCTCTGGGGTTTGGGGTTTTTGTTTTTGGGCTCCCTGCAGCAGGGATGTGCTCCCACCTCTTGCCCCACTGCAGCCCCTGGCTCTGGGTGCTGACAGTCCCTGCTGCAGCTGATGAATGTTGATCCAAAACCTTAGGAGGAAGAGGAGGAGCAGGAGAGGAAGGGAAAGGAACAGCTCCAGTGATTAAGCTAAAAGCTTCTTCTCTGGAACTGGGGATGCTCGGATGCTCTGGTTTTAAAATGCACTTTAAATCAGCTGCACTTGGTGTATTGAAAGGGAGGGGGGGTGGCACAGAGGGATGGCCAAGGGACACCTCAACACCCTGTAGGGACAGGGAAGGACCCTTGGGGTGAAGGCAACAGGGCAGTTTGGGGATAAAGAAGCAATTTCCCACTCCCAGTGAGCAGCCCAGGGATGCAGTGAGAGGTGGTCAAGGTCTGTGGCCATGTTAAAGAAACCAACACGGGCATCTTTCACTATAAAAACCAAATCTTTTATGTAAAAAATAAACCTAAACAAAACCCACAACCCCCGCTGCCATGCTGTGACAATACAAAAGGCCGAGTCCCCAAACACCGTGAAAACAGAGTCGTTGGATCCAAATATATATAAACTGTTGACTGAGGAGATTGGAAATAGCACCTTGCTGGTCCCCCCGCCCCTCCCCAGAGTGACCCTGTGCCCCAAAACCACCACCTGTGCTCCAAAGCCCAGGGACACCCCAGGCTCTGCCTGCCACACACATCAGGAGCCCCCTCCTCAGCCCTGGGAGCCAGGGACCCCCCATTGTTGCAGCAGCCCCCCCAGAGGAGGAGCCCCTCAGCCCCTGCTGTCCATGCAGAGTGTGGGGTCCGGTGGCACCGAGCAGCAATCCCCAGGACAGGGTGGGCACAAGGGGGTCTCCAAAATCCAATCTCAAACCGGTATTGAGAGAAAAAAAAACACCCCACTTTTCTGTCTGCACTGCAGGGTCAAGTAACGAAAAGAAACAAAAAAACGGGGTGGGGGGAAGAAACGGGGAATGAGCAGGAGCTGCATCCTGAGCCCTCCCAGCAGCCGGCGAGGCTCCTCCTNAAAAAAAAAAAATCACAAAGAAAATCTAAGCCTGCCCTGGGCATGAAAATTCCCCCTTGGAATTTCTCCTTATGGGGAGCTGGGCTGGACCCCCAACAGCAGCAGGAGCTGGACGGACCCTCCCAGGCCCCCCCAAAAAAGGGTCCACGAAGCCACCAACACCCCCACCCCAAAAAGAGCCACCAAGGGGATTCCAGCAAGGAAAAAAAAAAAACCCCAAAAACAACAATAAACCAGCTGGAAAAAAAAAAACCAAAAAACCCAAATCCCCTGAGATCGCCACTTCCCCGAGTGAAATTAAAAATAAAAAAGGTTGGGGTTGGGGGGCACCTGGGGAAGGGGGGAAAAACCCTGTGCTCCAGGTGGGAACCTGAGAACGGAGATACCGAGGGGGGCGAGGGGGTTTCGGTATCGGCTTGGATTGTGTCTCACGCAGATGTGGGTGAATCATTTTTCTTATTTTTTGTGTGGGAGGGGGAGGAGGGAAATATTTAAAAGAAACTGAGATTGTGGGGTTTAAAATAAATGCTTTGGGTTGTGTGTGCTCCAGAGCGTCCTGCAGCTCCGAGCATCCCCATCCTCTGGATCCTGCTTGGTTTTGGAGGAAATAAGCCCAAAGTGGCTTTAAACAGTAGTTTTATGCAAGGGGAGGAATAAAAATTAGGATTTGGCGGTGGGGGAAGGAGCAGAGCTGGACCCAACCACCGATAAGGAGAGGAGAAAGGAGATTCCAACTTTTTTCCAAGCTCCCATTTTCCCTGATGAAGACTAATATATATCATTTGCATGTTAAAAGATTGATTCTTTTTTTTTTTCTTTTTTTTTTTAGAGAATAAAATAGAAGCTATTTACAACAAAACAATCGAAAACAACCTCTTAAAATCCTGCAGAGAGTGGAGTTCCCAAAACAAAGGAGGGAAAAGGATGGAAATGAATAAAATATCTCCCTATTTCCAATTTTTTTTTTTTAGGATTTTTGGTTTTGTTTTGTTTTTTTCCTTTAGAATTCCGGGGGGGTTTCACTAGAGCTCGCGTCGGCAGGCGTCCATGCGTCTGTCTGGAGGTAACACGAGTTAAAAAATAACAATAATTATAATAATAATAATAATAAATGTACAGTGCAAAGTGTGATGTGAGTGAGGTAAACGGTCCCGGAGCGGCGCAGCCGGACAGCCGGCGGTGGCTCCAGCAAAACCCCCCGGGCTAAAGCTTTTCTGCCTGGAAAAGGAAAATCCAACAACACGAGAACAAGGGCAGGGCCCATTGAGAGACTGAGAAGATCCAGGAGAAACCCTGGCAAGACCTGGGGGAGACCCTTGGTGAGATCCTGGTGGGACCCAAGAGAGATCTCAATGAGAACCTGGTGAGATCCTGGTGGGACCCAGGAGAGATCTCAGTGAAACCCTGGTGGGACCCCGGTGAAATCCTGCTGAGACCCCAGAGAGACCCTGGCAAGACCTCGAGTGAGACCCTTGGTGAGACCCCAGTGAGACCCAGACAAGATCTCAATGAAACCCCAGGGAGACCCAAATGAGATCTCAATGAAACCCTGGTGAGATCCCAGTGAGACCCCAGTCTCANTCGTCGCTGCTCTCGGTGCCGTGCAGGTGCCGGCTGAACTTGGGCAGGGGCACGCTGGGCTTGCCCTCGGGGTTGAGCATGTTGGCAGGGGCCAGCACGATGAAGGCGTTTGTCACCGGACCTGTGGGGACACAGGGGACAGCTCAGGCTGGACCCTGCTGGGTTTGGGAGGCCTCGGGCAGCCCCGGCACAGGACTCTGCTCTGCCTGCCCAGGGCTGGTTGTGACCCCAAAAGAGCAGAGCCCGGCCTCCCACCACCCTGAGCTGCCATCCATCAGCAGCCCCGTGCTGCCACAATCCATGGCAGAGCTGATGAGCGTGTTAATTACTGCATTAATTACTTACCCGCCCCCTCCCAGCTGCTGTGAGCTCCCAGTGCTGTCCCCCCACTCCCTGTCAGGCACAGCAGCCCCCAGCACCCCTCAGCAAGCAGGGCACTGCTACCACAGCCCCACCATCCATATCCCCTTTCCCATTTCCACCTTTCCAAGGTGAAGATGGTCCATGTGCACCTGGAGGGGGCTGCCAGGGCTGTGGAGAGGGGTGCAGGGTCAGGGAGGGGACATGGCGGGGCCTAGGGAGGCTCAGAGCTGCTGGAGGATTTTGGTCTTTGCAGAGCAGACAGACACAAGCAGCTCTGACAGGGATGAGGGCCCTGTCATCACCATCCACCCCTCCAGAGCCTGCTCCTAAATCTGATCCTCTGAGGAGTCAAGGTTGGGTCCCAGTAGCAGAGCAGCAGCTCTGGCCCCAAAGCTGTTCCTGGCCAGCTCTGATGGCGTCACTCCCTCCTTAAAGATCAGATCACTGTGCTCCATCAGTGACATTCCCATTGCACTGACAGCTCATGGAGCAGTTTGAGAAGAAAGGTGGAGAGGAGAAAACCTCAGAAGTGAACCCAGAGTTCCCCAAACCTGGTCACCACCTGGACACAGCCCCCACTGCCACTCAGTGCAGAAGTTCTGCACAAGATCACCTTGCCTCAAGCCTGGGGCAGCAGGGGCCAGGCTGGGCATGGGGACCAGGCTTAGCTGGGGGGAAATAACCAAATAACCCAGCTTCCAATGCAGAGCTGCCAGCAGAACACATCAGCCAGAGCATCCCAGGATGGCCTTGCAGGGGGAGCCCTTGGGATGGTCTGTGCCACGCTGTGTTTGCAGAGACAAGGATGGAGCTCGTGTGACAGGATGGGAATTGAGGCCTGGAGGGATTTGGGGGCAGCAGTGGCTCCCAGGCTCATCCCACAGGTCCCCTGCTTCCCCCCAGAGTGGTGGCAGCCAGGCAGGGTGACCAGCACTGCCACAGCTCATCACCCAGGAGCAGCAGCCTGATTTCTCAAATGCCACCCACTGCCCCTGCCAAGGACAAGCCACCCTTGTTGACACAGCCCCCTGCACCAGCCTGGCCCTGAGCCACTCTCCAGCTTCTTGGATTTAATTTGCAGCAGTGTTGAGGGGAGGGCAGAGGGTCCTGTGTGTCCCCAGTCATGCCCTGTGCTCAGCAAGCAGAGGGACAGTGCTGTCCCAAGGACACTGAGCCAGAGGCTGCTGTCACATCTCCATGTCACAGCCCTGTCACCTCTGCCTTGGGGAGGGAGCAGGGACAGACCTTGCTGGGGGGCTCATGAGAGGCCAAGCAGGGGACAGGGATCCATGAGAGGGGGCTGGGTTGGTCCTTCAGGGATTCCAGAGCCAGGGCACAGCTCAGGGGTGCTGGAATCTCAGCCTATTCCTGAGCACACACAGCCATGCCAGTGCCAAGGCTGCCAGGGAAACCAAATCCCTGCCCAGAGGCAGCAGAGAACCAGCAGAGCACCCACAGCGTGGGGTCAGCCTGGTCCTGCTCCTCCTGGGAAGAGCCTGGTCTGTCCATTCCTGCCTGCAGCCTCAGGAGGACTCCAGTGCCCGGCTCAGAGCCAAAGCCTGGCCCCCCCTCCCCTCCTGGGATGACTCACAGCTCCATTTGGTTTGTTTTCACCCTCTAGTGCCAGCCAGGCTGGATGGGCACTGCAGTGGGTCCCAATTAGGGACGGTCCTTGGCAGCCAAAGGGAAGAGGAAAAGGGTCTGCAGGCAGCCTGGCTTGCAGAGACTGCCCTGAGGCTGCAGCTCAATCACCACGGAGGAACACAGGGACTGGCTGTCCCCACCATCACCTTTGGGAGGGGTTTGGGCCATGCCCAAGGCAGCCCCACTGGTCACTGCAGCACCAGGGGCCAGAAACCACAGTCAACAACAGGAGGGGTAAATCCCCCACTGCTCTGAGGGGGCTGAGGCACCCAACTGCTGCTCCTGCAATTTACTGGAGCCATCAGACTGAAATCCCAGACAGCTGCTCATATGGGATTCACTTCAGGCCCCATGAGCTCACTGCTGGGGTCACAGAGCTGTCTCCCCTGCAGACACAGCTGGGGTGCATGTGGGGTGACTGCTCCCTGGGGAAAACAAGGAGGAGGATCCCGTGTGGCCTCAGCGACAGGGTGAAATCCATGACTCACTCCTGACAGAGCACAGGGGGTTGTTAACACACGGGGCAAGGTCAGGGCAGAGCTCCAGACAGCCCAGGCTCCCTCCAACGCCTCTGCCCTTCCCAGGGCGTGAAGCAAGGGGCAAAAACACACCTGGAGTGCCCAGGGCAGCTCAGGTGAGACACTGGGCCTCTGGCAGTGAGGATCCTGGAGATAAGGACATTCCTACCTTTGTGATTCATCGTCTTGAGGCACTGCTTGCTCTGGATGTCCCACAGCCTGACGGTTTCGTCGTGAGAGCCCGAGAGCAGCAGGCTGCCATCTGTGGAGACTGACAGACACGTCACCTGGTTCCTGGAATGGGGAACAGGATGTTTAAACTCAGGATGACCCCAGGAGTGCCAGGAGCTGGTGAGGTGGGCAGATGGAGGCTGGCAGGTACGTCTGGTTCCTCACCTGTGCCCTTTGAAGACCTTCCCGTTCTCCCGCTCTGTCTGGAAGGTCCGGTCTCTCTGAACTGGCTGAAGAAATTCAGGAAGGAAAAGAAAGGAGTTAAAATTCAGGAAAGCTGAACCCACCAGGTTCATCACCATGTCTGGAGGGGGCAGAGGAGACACAGAGGAACCCTCCCATGCCCTGGCAGGTCACACCAGTCCCAGCAGGGAGGTGACAGTGGCTCAGGGTGACAGGGCACACCTGCAGCCCCACACACTCACCCAGGCACAGAGGTCGACCTGGAAGATGGAGCCATCCATGCCCCCACAGAACATGTGGTACTCAGAGAGGTCCAGAGTCACAGCCATGATCCCCACGTCGAAGAGCACGGAAAGCAGGAGCTCCCCAGATGAGATTTCCCAGAGCTGGAGTGAGAGGGGACAGGAGAATCAGGGGCGAGAATGTTCATGGCAGGATTGGAGGAACACTGATATCCTGACATTCCCTCCTGGATGTGACTGGGAAACTGAGTCCAAGGCTCAGAATCCAGGCCCAGCCTCTCTGTGAGCAGGACAGAAGTTTCCCAGGCAGCTTCAAAACAGCTCTGAACCCTCTCTGTGGCCACCCTGCCCCCAGGGCATCCCCTCCCCACAGGCTCCAGCCTGCTCTGCTCCCTGTGGACATCAGCAATGGAAAAAAGAGGAGCTGACCCCGACATTCCCAGGACAGCAGGGACTGCAGCAGTCCAGCCTGGGGGCAGGTGCAGAGAAACTGCTGTTGTTGGAGAGGCAGAGCCCAGCTCTGGCAGCTCTGAGTCACTGCAGAGACAGCCAAGAAATGAAGCCACTGCAACCCGGCAAAGCTTGGGGACAGCTTGGGGACAGCTTCCTGCTAGCTGGCAGGAGCCTGGCTGTGACCCCAAGGGTCTGGCAGCTGTGAGATGAGCCTCACCTTGGCTGTCTGGTCGAGGGAGGCGGTGGCAGCCCGTGCCAGGGGCCCTCCAAAGCCGCAGCACAGGTCGGTGATGGGGAGGCTGTGCCGGGACCAGACGTGCCGGGGGTCGGGGATCTGGGAGGGCTCTGCCTGCAACACGCTGTGGGGAGAGCAGAGACAGGCAGGTCAGCCAGGACAGAGCCCCACGGGCAGCTGGGCCAGGCTCTGATCCCACTGGGGCCGGCTGCAGGGACCAAGGGGGACACGGGAGCTGCTGGCAGCCATGGCTCATGGATGCTGAGATTCCTATCCCACAGGGACAAACACCCTGGGAAAGGGCACAATCTCCTCTGTGTCATCCAGGGAAAGAAGTCAGAACCATCTGCCTGTTCCCAAGAAACCCCCAAGGAAAGGCTCCCTGTTCAGAAGGAGGGCACAGACACAGCTGTGGGCTTAGAGGGATCTCCTGCTCCAAAATCCCTGTGGCACACAGATACTGAGATCCCTATTCCACAGGGACAAACACCCTGGGAAAGGGCACAATTTCCTCTGTGTCACCCAGGGAAAGAAATCAGAACCATCTGTTCCCAAGAACAGGTGAGACCCTCAAGGAAAGGCTCCCTGCCCAGAAGGAGGGCACAGACCCAGCTGTGGGCTTAGAGGGATCTCCTGCTCCAAAATCCCTGTGTCCCCCAGCCCCCCTTACTTGTAGAGGTTCCACACCAGGGCCAGACAGTCCTTGGCCCCTGAGAGGAAGTGGCTGCTGTCATCAGTGAAGCAGAGGCACGTGAGGTCCTGGTAGTGTCGGTTCAGGATGGCCAGGAGGTTCCCATTGGACACCTGGAGGGAGAGGAAGGGCAGGAGGGAGTCAAGGATGCCTTGGGATCATGTGGTGAGAAGGGTGGGTTCTGTTCCACCTCAGGACAGTGACTGACACCACTGAGGCACAGCTGGAACAGCCTGAACTCAGTGGAAATTCAGCACATGGCAGTGGAAGAGGTCCTGACACTTTAACTCTGGAACCCAGTGATGCCAGAGCTGCTCCTCTGGCCAAGTCACAAATGTGCAGTAAAGATTTCTTGCTCACTCTTAATATTTATATTACTTCTTCCCTCCTCCCACAGGTCCTCAGGAGGTGGCACTGGGGTTATGAGAGCTGCAGGACACCCCAGAGGTGGCTCAAGGGGTTTAGGGTGGACAAGGAATCCCCCAAGCATTTCTTATTAAAAGCAACTGCAGATGGGGAGGGAACCAAGAAAAGAAAAAGCCTCAAATAAAATAAGAGTCTGCTTCTTCTCATGGTCTGAATTACACCAAAAAATCAAAGCAAACCTCAATTTAAGGGGTTTCATAAACAGCACAAAACTGAGCTCTAGGGGCTGGTTCCAGCTCCATGGATGGTTTCCTCTCCAATGTGCCAGAGGGACAGTGCCATACCCTGGAACACATCTGAGGGTGACAGTGCCATACTCTGGAACACATCTGAGGGTGACAGGAGCTGGAGCAGGCCCAGCTTGGAGCATCACAGGCAGCAGCTCCCACTGCAGGCTCAGCCTCAGGGATTTTTTTCTCAGCTAAAAGCACTTTGGCACAAACAAACCCTGATGGGTTCAGGTAGAGCCACTCACACCATGAGGCTCAAACCTCCAGGTGAGGCATCCTGGGGTTTAATCCTGGGCTCAGGACAAGATACTGCTTTCATTTGCTCAGTGGTGTGCTGGGAACACAACAGTAATCCCAAATTAATCCAGCAGTAATTAACCAGCAGAACAATGACCAGAGCACAGCAGGGGCTGCTGGCACCCTGGGCACACACAAATATGCAGCTGAAATGTGGGAGAAGCACTGAATGAAAACCAGATCCTGTGCTGCTGCCTCATGGGAGCAATGCTTGACCCCTGAGGCAGAGTCAGGGCATCCAGAGATGCCTGGAAAGAGGAGAATGAGGCAAAGTGAAGCCTCTCCCTGAATTCCTCCCACTCTTACTTCAATGAGCTGCTCTGTGGGCTGAGAGCAGCACAGCCTTTATCCCAGCATCAGGATTTACAAACATTTAGGGGATGGGGACCCTGACTCCAGGATCAGGATTTACAGACATTGGAGGGATTGGGGACCCTCCCTGACCGTGCAGGGTGTGAGTGTGAGTGCCCCAGCACCCCATAACTCCCACAGACCGTGCAGGGTGTGAGTGTGAATGCCCCAGCACCCCATAACTCCCACAGACCGTGCAGGGTGTGAGTGTGAGTGCCCCAGCACCCCGTAGTACCTCCCACAGGTAGATGCTCTCGGCGACGCCCGCCAGGACGTAGAGCCCGTTGGGAGAGGCTGTCAGGCAGGTCACAGGCCCGGGACAGATGATTTTCTGCTGCAGCTGGTCCTGGGACAGAGAGAGAGCACAGTGAGGGCTCAGAGAAGGAAAGGGGCTGCAAGAATGGGGGCTCAGGGGGATTTCTGCGAACAGAGGGATGGGGGGCACTTGCACAGGATGATGGAGGGAGGGGGAGCCTGAGGGTCCAACAGGGGACAGAGGGGGGTCTTTGCAGAGAATTGGGCCATGAAGGGGTGTCTGAGAACAGAGAGGAGCATCCACGAAACGAGGGGCCATGGGGGGGAGGGGGGTCTCTGTGGAGAGAAGGGCCATGAGGG